TCTCATCTCCATTATTTTTTTCAAATAGTTTTTTTAATTAAACAATTTATTTTATTTACTTCAAGCTTGTTATACATAAAAGTAAGGGTTATATATACTATTCCCAGTTGAAAAATCTTGTACAATATCATGTACATTTTTTTGTTCAAGTTCAAGTACTTGCACATTCGCGTGATCTTGTACAAGAGCAGAAAACGAACCTGTAAAAAGAATTGGAACAAAGTACATGAACCTGTACAGGTACATTTAAGTGTATTTGTTTGCGACTTTGTGACTGTTGTGTGTGCAAAATTGCAAATCTATTTGTTTCGATTTATAAAAGTTATTTTGTCAACAACATTTTCCCTATTGAAAAAAAACACGTATAATTATACGTATAATAATACGTATAATTATACGTATAATAATACGTATAATTAATTATACGTATAATAATACGTATAATTATACGTATTATTATACGTATAATTATAATTCTATTAAAAATAGAATAATAGAATAGAATAGATTAATTAGTAGCAAAATTGCGCTGAAAATTTTTAGAAATTTTAAAATGCAAATTAAATTTCACGAAAAAAAATATCGTCGAATGTCAATTCAAGCAGTCACCCATCCAAGTACTAACCGCGTCTAACGTTGCTTAACTTCTGTGATCTGATGAGAACTTGTTCCTTCGCCTTGGTGTTTCCGCTGTCTTGTCTTGATTAATAACTTTGTCGTATAAGTATCACTAAAAGTGAGGTTAGGTGCGATACAATACTTATACGACAAAGTTATTAATCAAGACAAGACAGCGGAAACACCAAGGCGAAGGAACAAGTTCTCATCAGATCACGGAAGTTAAGCAACGTTGGACGCGGTTAGTACTTGGATGGGTGACTGCTTGAATTGACATTCGACGATATTTTTTTTCGTGAAATTTAATTTGCATTTTAAAATTTCTAAAAATTTTCAGCGCAATTTTGCTACTAATTAATCTATTCTATTCTATTATTCTAGTTTTAATAGAATTATAATTATACGTATAATTAATTATACGTATTATTATACGTATAATTATACGTATAATTCTTGTTTCAAATTCGTATGTCTTATTATACGTATAATTGTACGTATAATAATACATATAATTATACGTATAATAATACGTATAATTATGCGTATAATTATGCGTATAATTATACGTATAATTATACGTATAATAATACGTATAATTATACGTATAATAATACGTATAATTATACGTATTATTATACGTACAATTATACGTGTTTTTTTTCAATAGGGTTATGTCTATATACGTACGTACAAACATACATACATACATACACACAGACAGACGTAAAGATTTCATGGAAATAGTAAAAGTCAATTTTCGACCAATTATAATACATTCTCATGTGATGAGAATGTAAAAAAAAATGCTTTTTTCATTAAAATCTTAAAAACGTAAAGAGATAGAGAATAATGTTTAATGGCAAAGTTGTAGCTGATAAAATTTTGAAGAAAAAAGTCTCTGGGGTCATTATGCCAAGATGAATACATTACAAGATAATTAAGTCAGAAATTCTGATTTTTGTGTAAAAAAATATAAATAATATGTATATAGAGTGGTTTTTTTCTAAATTGATATTTTTTTCACTTGTATCATATTTTCTGAGTCTATTATGATGAGAATATGTCTATTTTATGGACTGATTTTTTTCACCTCATTAATAAAATTTAATTTTTCATAAAAAATGTCTTTTTTGGCGTTTTTTAGGTGTTTTTCGACAATTAAACCACTGTAACTTTTACAATTTTAATTTAATCAAAAAATTTTATTTAAAAAAAATGTTTTCTTTTTCCTGGACTGTAATGCTGTGTAGTGAAAAAAAATTTTTTTTAAAAAAAATTAAATTTCAAAATTTTAAAAATCCCGCACTTTTTGCATTTTTTGATGAAAATGGCTGGCTAACGAACTTAACCCGTATTTTGATACTAACTTTGTGTATGCAAAATTGCAAAACGATTTGTTTCGATTTACAAAAGTTATTGTGTCAACAACATTTTGTGTCTACATACGTACATACATACATACATACATACATACATACATACATACATACATACATACATACATACATACATACAGACACACAGACAGACACTTTCGCCGGACCATGTTTTTTCGACTCAGGGCACCTCAAAACGTAAAGATTTCATGGAAATAGTAAAAGTCAATTTTCGACCAATTATAATACCTTCTCATGTGATGAGAATGTAAAAATAAATGCTTTTTTCATTAAAATCTTAAAAACGTAAAGAGATAGAGAATAATGTTTCATGGGAAAGTTGTAGCTGATAAAATTTTGAAAAAAAAAGTCTCTGGGGTCATTATGCCAAGATGAATACATTACAAGATAATTGAGTGAGAAATTCTGATTTTTGTGTAAAAAAATATAAATAATATGTATATAGAGTAATATGTAATATGTAATAAATAACTATTAGGAATGGTTAATATACATTTAGAGTGCTTATTTATTCAATAATAATAATGAATTAAGATATAATTAATTAATAATAAGTGTTTTACGTGTACAGTGCATACAGTTGTTGAATTACCATATATATGTATATTACCATCAGCGGCAGCTGTGATACGCGCGTTAAACCCTAGATGGCGTTAAGGATGACTTTGTGAATGAATTTCTAAAATTAAGCTCTTGAGTATCAAATGTGTAAGTGAATATATAAGTTTTAAAAAAATAGATCAATTTATTAAAACAACTTTTTTGATTTGTACAAATATAAAAAAAAAATTTTATAACGAACAAAAATTTTTTTAATGAGAAAAAGTTTTTTTTGTGTGAGAAAAACATTAATTTTGATACAAAAAAAACTTTTTCTGATTAAAAAAATTTTTGTTCGTTATAAAATTTTTTTTTTATATTTGTACAAATCAAAAAAGTTGTTTTAATAAATTGATCTATTTTTTTAAAACTTATATATTCACTTACACATTTGATACTCAAGAGCTTAATTTTAGAAATTCATTCACAAAGTCATCCTTAACGCCATCTAGGGTTTAACGCGCGTATCACAGCTGCCGTTGATGGTAATATACATATATATGGTAATTCAACAACTGTATGCACTGTATACTTAAAACACTTATTATTAATTAATTATATCTTAATTTATTATTATTGCATAAATAAGCACTCTAAATGTATATTAACCATTCCTAATAGTTATTTACTACATATTTCGTCGATTAACGATAATATTTTACAATGAACCGAAACGTAACCGAATCGTAACCCAATTCGGTTACAACTCGGTTTTCCCAATCCGCCAGGGTAAACCTGATGGACCCTCGAAAGGACCCTTCTATTGGAAAAAGGGAATATATAAAAAAATGTAAATTGTAGTAGGTAAAAGTAAATAAGCGGTTTGAAAAAAATAAAAAAAATTGTCCTGAGAATTTCAAATACATATTTAAAAATTTTTCATATTAACTATTTAATTTTTTGATTTTTAACTATTTATAGAATTTTTTTGGATGTCTATCCCAGTCGAAAATCCTACGCTATGTTAAGCTGAACAAAAAGTTGTTTTGAAGTATTGAGATAACCATTAGAGAATTGTTAGACAGTAGATAACTAGCTATAGAAAACTTTCAGGAAGCCTGTTAAGGCCGATTTTTCGCTTCCACGGAAAGCTTGAAAATAACAAATTTTGTACGTTTTAAACAAAGCATTCAAGTAGCTTTGAGAGAGTTATCAAAGAGTTGCAGGATTTTGCATATATAAAAAGAAAGCGTTCAGGTGGCGAAAATTAAATGAAGCGTCATGGATGTTTCAGGAAACAGCGGAAAAATGACAATGATCAAAAATTAAATTTAACCTTTCTTTCCATCTTTATTTATCTCGTAAAAATATTATGTATTAGATTATTATATTTAAATATTGAAGAATTAAAGAAAAATTATTTACGTCAGACTCGGTATTTTAACTTTTAGTACATTGTTGTCAACCAAAATTTGTAAATAAAAATACGCTGTTAAATTCATTTTCATAAATTATGAAATTCTAAAAAAATAAAGAATATATTATTTATAAAAAATATTCATAAATATCAAGTATAAAAATAATAATCTTTTTTTTTAAATATTAAATATTTTGTCTTTTTTTTAAGAAATTGTATTCATTATTCAATATAAAAGGTTTTCACCATGTTCGTATTCCTAACCCCAAATTTTGCTCAAGTTATATATAATTTTTTTCGTATATAATTTAAGTGATTAAAAATAAACGTTTTCTTTGAAAAGTAATTTTTATATAATATATAAAGAATAATTATTAATTGTATAAAACGGATTTACAAATTACTATAGAATTTTTATAATTTTTCGATTTAGTTTAATTTAATGAAATTATTCTAGTTTTCAGGAAGTGTAAAAAAGGTAATTAAATTACATATTAATTTGCAACTTGTGAAAAGCAAATAGAATTGCTTTCTTACACATTAAACCAGGCATTAGGAAAGCATTCACCAAGCAAACTGGTAGACCTTTTGCTAGAAGCTGTCCACAGATATTCAACAAGCTGTAGAAAAAGCTTCCGGTTAAGAAATCAGAAAGCAAATATCACAGAATTTTAGGTCTAATGTATAAATAGTTGCCATGAAGCTTTTGAAACCTTCATAACAGTTACCTGAAGGCCATGTGAACCCTTCAGGGAAACTTACGATTTTCGACTGGGAGCTCTCCGTCTATAACAAGCTGTCCCCATTTACCCCAAAAATAATAATGATTTTGAAAAAAAAAATTCTTAAATAGAAATAGATGAAAAAGCAAATTGTATGGGTCCGAGGGACCCAGCTCAGGCACGCAAGGGTTATTGCGAACTCAAAAATTGGAAATAGTAATTTTCGCAAAAATTCTACTAAAAAGAAATATTCATGCGTTCCAAATAGCCTTTCTAATTATGATTATAGAAATGGACAATACTTACAGGATTTTAATAAAACAAGAAATACGTAACCGCTGGATCTACACAATACTATTTTCAAGCAAAATTTAAATTGAATAACTTTCCATTTGAAATTGCTGTTGAACTTATCTTTTGTCACGATTTTGATTTTTTTTATTACTAAATTTTTTCAAATCTATTCTCAAATTGTTTTTTTTAAACATTTTTACGGTTTTAAAATTTTTACTTTTCTTATAAGTTGTTATTGCCCACGATTTCTTTTTATGTTTACGTACGATTTTATTTATTTTTTTTAAATATTTTTTTTCTTATCTTAGTAATAATCGAATTTGCAGAATAGTAGAGCACGATCACCATCATTATAGAATTTAACATCTGCATTTTTATACTTAAACGGGGGACAGTTGAATGTTGTTGTTAATTTACAAAATCTATCTTTGATGTTGATGAAATCCTCATTCTGACACACTAATGCGTTAGATTTTCCAATCAGTGTATAATTTTCCTCGCAACTGAAAGTTACTAATTTAAAATTGACTTCATTAATTATTATAATCTTTGTCGATCCATTGAAATTCCCTGTATTTATTACACAATCATCTAAAAAGAATTATATAAGATATTATTTTATAGAAGAGTAGAATGATTGACTTTGAACACTCATGCTTACCTACAAGCAGTATGGAATCATTCTTATGGTATAGATCTATAAACGAAAGAAGAAAATTAAATTAAATTTGGCACAATATTATTTTTTTTATTTCATTTCTAACAAATAGGTACTACTCAAATTAGTAAAAAAGTTTACTAATTTGAATTAGTGACTCACTTTTTGCTTTAGCATTAGTTAAATTTTACTAATTATTAGTAACAATTACTAACACACTGAAAAAAGGGTTTGGTATTGACAACCAAACGTTTGGTTGGTATTTAAGCAACCAAACTATTTGTTTGAGTCAATTAAACAATTTGGTTGGTTACACCGTCCGACAAAATTCAACTTTTTTTTCACATACGAAAAAATCAATGATTTTCAGAAACTAGGACCAAAAAAAAGATACCCGTATCTGGCCGTTTTGCTAGATCAGGTCATTTTTTGCTTTTAGGGGTAAAAACAACCCTTAAATGAAAAGGTGATAGGAAATCTTGTACAAAAAAATAATTTTTTATGAAACCTGGTATCTCGGGGTTTTCCGGGTCGCTGATTACGAATCTGATGTCAGATTTTCAAAATTCAAAGTGGCGGATCCAATATGGCGGTCGAAATTTATAAAAATTCACCAATTCATTTGAAAGTTGTTACTTAGGGGTTTTTGGGGTCGCTGATTACGAATATGATGTCAGATTTTCAAAATTCAAAATGGCAGATTCAATATAGCGGTCGAAATTTATAAAAGTTCATCGAATTCACTTAAAACTTGTTACTTGAAGGTTTTTGGGGTCGCTGATAACGAATATGATGTCCGATTTTGATAATTCAAAATGGCAGACTCAATATGGCGGTCGAAATTTATAAATATTAATTATTTTTTATAAAACTTGGTGTCTAGGGGTTTTTGGGGTCGCTGATAATAACATAATAATAATAATAATAATAATAATAATAACATAATAACATTTATAACTTTCGACCACCATATTGGATCCGCCATTTGGAATTTTGAAAAGCCGACATCAAATTCGTAATCAGCAACCCCAAAAACCTTCAAGTAACAAGTTTCAAGTGAATTCGACGAACTTTTATAAATTTCAAACGCCATATGGAATCTGCCATTTTGAATTTCAAAAATCTGACTTCAGATTCGTACTCAGCAACCCCAAAAACCCATAGACACCAAGTGTTATAAAAAATAATTAATATTTATAAATTTCGACCGCCATATTGGATCCGCCATTTTGAATTATCAAAATCTGACATCATATTCGTTATCACGACCCCAAAAACCTTCAAGTAACAAGTTTGAAGTGAATTCGATGAACTTTTATAAATTTCGACCGCTATATTGAATCTGCCATTTTGAATTTTGAAAATCTCACATCATATTCGTAATCAGCGACCCCAAAAACCCCTAAGTAACAACTTTCAAATGAATTGGTGAATTTTTATAAATTTCAACCGCCATATTGGATCCGCCACTTTGAATTTTGAAAATCTGACATCAGATTCGTAATCAGCGACCCGGAAAACCCCGAGATACCAGGTTTCATAAAAAATTATTTTTTTGTACAAGATTTCCTATCACCTTTTCATTTAAGGGTTGTTTTTACCCCTAAAAGCAAAAAATGACCTGATCTAGCAAAACGGCCAGATACGGGTATCTTTTTTTTGGTCCTAGTTTCTGAAAATCATTGATTTTTTCGTATGTGAAAAATCGTGTCGGACGGTGTTATCCAATTTAAATATTTGTGGACTTTGAAAAATCTCATCTCCGTCTGGGATCGAACCTCTGTTTTAAAAATGAAGGTCAGGAGCTCTGACCACTGGACTACTCATCCTTGTGAAAAATTTAAACCAACTGTTCTCTTAAGCTATGAGCTGAGAGCGAATCAAATTATTTGGTTGTCGCAACCAAATTTTGGTTAGGACAACAAACAATCATTTGGTTTTTTAGACGAAACTATTTTGTTGTGTTTAGTCACAACAAAACTACACGCTACAATAACTTTACTTACCTGAAAATATCCTCTTGCTGTCGGTATAGTAGAGTTCTTATCACTTTTAGAAAACTTTTTTTTAAAAATTAAATTGCAATTATCTCAAACTGTGCTCGATAAATAATAAAATAATTTAATAAAATTTGCAATTTCTATTAAATATAAATTATTTTTTCACACATTTTACACTAATTTCTTGAAAATATTATGAAAACTGACAACAAGTTAAAATCTACAGTTACCACTTGCACATATCAAGTGATTATTTATTATTTATCACGTTATTAATTAAAATTCTTACAAAAATTAACTCTATAAATGTTCATTTAACCTCACAATACTAATTTTTATAAATTTTCATCAATTTAAAGCTTTTTTTTAATAATTACCTAAATTCGACTTAGATTCGCCCCAGCTGGGTCGAATTTAGGTAAATCAAATCCACCAGGGGGTTACAAGAACCAAAATTGCCTAACCAAACAATTATGTTGCAAACACACTAAATTTTTTTCCTCAGTGTAAGAAGACTGGAAAAGAATAAAATTAAAATTATCAGATATTTTCTAAAGTTTACAATTTTTCTATTCTATTTAATCTGCAATATTCCTTCTTTTTTTTAATCCCCTAAAATATAATAGAATATTGGAAAAAAAAATTTTTTTTATATGACAAAATGCAATTGTATTCCGTTAATGGAATATATTTCACAAAGTTTTAATTCCAAAAAGTTTTGTTGAGTCATGTTTGAACTAGAAGACTTTTTAATCCTCAAACGGAAATAGAAACCCAGTGGGCAAAAAACCATGTTCATTCTAAAAACGTCCTTGAAACGTTTTTATAACGAACATGGTTTTTTGCCCACTGGGTCAATGTAAATACGAGCGATATTTGTATTGCGTATTCGTTTCAGGTTAGGTTATATGTGATTGTATCTATTGTAATATATGTTATTGTATTATGTATTTTAAGATGAGTGAGTTAAAATATTTATGCCTTTGTAAATAAATATTACAATTTTTTATACAAGTTCATTTGGGTCTGCTGAAACCGAAAAAATCATAAAAACTTTAAAAATTATTTATTGTTTAATTATTTTTTATTGTAAACAATGATTTGTCAGTAATATATTTTTCTTACTTTCGATGAGCCCCCCGACTAAAAAAACCAACTTAAAAGAATAAATAAACAAACTTTCACTTGCGTCACTTAGATTCGTGTTAGGGTAAGAATTCCTAAAGTGGCCCCCTAATATTTTTTGTGTAATAGAAAAAAGTGATACTCACATATTTTGGTAGTCCATGATGTCACTAAAAAACCCTTAAAACGATTTTTCAAAATTCGAATTTTTTTAAAAGTTATAAACAATTAAACTTTTTTGCAACGTTTTGGAAAAAATTCTGTATCTTGAAATTGGCCGAACCGATTTTAATAAAAATTGGTTTGGAGAAAGATTAAGATACGTACTTTTGATAAATAAATAAATTATGAATAAAAAGTATAATTTGTTTAAACAAATTATATTGTTAATTTTTAACTTTATAAATTAACAATGTTCTCAGTCGATTTTTCCAATTTTTTTATAGAATCATATAAAGGGGCTTTTCACAATTCCATGACAAAAATAAAAAAGTGGGATTCTCAAAAACTTTAGAAGATACAGAATTTTTAGTCTTAACGCGCGCGAGTTTTCTGAGTAGCTCACGCATACGGCACGGCATCTCCCGCGCGCTCCATATAAGAGTTCCCGATTATAATATTTTATTAACTCAATTAAACTGAACAGTTGTTTATATGTATCTTATTATGCATATCATTTTTTTAATAATTAATAATTTTTGGCTTATAAAACGTTTTCGTTGATATATTTGTCTTTTCTTAAAATTAAACGAGATCATTAAGTTTCAAATTAGTATGCTGATTAATATCACATTACGTTTTATTTTATTAAAGTTAAAATCTAATTTAAAATTTCATATATTTTCTTAAATTTTAACCAGTCTTTCAATGAATTAAAATACTTATAAAAAATAGTCTCAATTCCCTGTCATTTTGCAAACCAGCGGCGCACATTTTATTATTTTTCATGATAAATTTTTAACATTTTTCAATAACGCTGTTCACATCATCGGAATAAAACTTACACGTAATATCAGTAGTGCTTAATGGCGCATAGTAGTGATATTTTCTCGTGTTTTTAATTGCTTTTGCTTTTGAATATCGCGATTTTAACTTTTTTTCATGTAAGATGTGCTCTTTTTTACTGCAGTAGACGAAATCAATTTTTTTAAACGCAGTTTTTGCCCATTCTGTAAATGTTTTTGCAGAATTTACTGTTTCCCTGTTAATTCTTTGTAAACTAGCTTTATAAGCACGTCTTTTGACGGTACCTCCAATTCCGTCACACGCTCCTTTGCCATGACCGGTCGCAAAGAAATGCCACTCCGCTTTTACACCGAAATCAGCTTCATGTGCCAATAAATTGGAAAAATTGAATCTATTTTTATATTGAGCACTGTAACCATCAGAAACAAGT